TTTTATACTAACGTTTACATTTGGAATAACAAATGTTTAGAATAAAGTAACAAGCTAGAAGTAATATCTGCGCTTCCCCTTTGGTACCTATCAAGTTTTCTGCGCTAGACGCGTGATGATAACTGCTTGCGATCAGTGTCAACTACATGGTGTGGATTTCGAGTGAATGGAGTTGTATATATGTATAAACTGCTCACACAGTCCGTATGGTAGCAGCCTAAGGTCGTAGGAATGATAATCATTCAAACTGTCACAGTTTCATATCAAATATACATTTTAGTTACATTGCACCTATAAAAATTCCAGGCGTTTTCCACGCACCATTCCAACATTTTCGATTTTAGATCATCTTAAACAACATTGTAATGGTTGCTGTGTGATAACTATTAATAATTAATGTTATGTAATGTTGAGCTATTGGCTGCAAAAGTAGTGTTTGTTACTTGAAAGAAACAAATTAATACTGGCTTGGTAATGGGAGTTGTAAGTTTCTTGTCACTTTCATTGACATACCGTAATATATTAATAAATTGTTGATTTTTATTATAGTTGCACTGGCAAATTGCTGAACGGCCAATTACTTATATTTGATACTTATAATCATTTCTGCCGTGGTTACTTGATAAGGCGTATGTGACATTTACAAAAAAAAACTAAGTAACTGCCGTGGTCAGTAAAAAAGACCGGTCTGTTACTATTTTAATTTTTTTCTAGTTTACTAAGGTATGAAGTTACCACAAGAGAAAAATAGTTATTTTTTTTAGTTTTTGTCACAAGCCCTTTCAACTAACGGTGGCAGATTTATGAACCATGGTTGGATGCGTAAAACATCTTGTATAGGTCCAAAATACAACTCGGCTTAGAGGAATGTAAAAGTCCACCTAAATGCGAAATATGAAACAATCGTTCGTTTTAGTTTCGTATCGGAACGGCTACCATGAAACGCGTGCGAAGATTGTGATTTGACATCCTTACTCCGAAACGTCAAAAAACAGCTTTGGTTTTTGACATTTTGACATTACTTTCTTCGTAAAACTGACATTATTATGTGGTAACTACGTACGAGTTTTGTTGCTGACGCAGTCACGTAATATCGTATTTCGTGGTAGACTTTCTGACGGGAATTGAAACATCGCGATCTTAACATAGAACAACAAATATGAGCTCTTTCGACCCAGAATCTAAGAAAAATAAATAGAAGCAAGAAACTAACCTACGCCAAGAATGATTCAATAATGACACAAAAACGTTTTTCTGAGCAGTTGTCTCCAAATTACAAATTGTCCTAATACCTATTTGATAACCTTAGAGATAGGTCGTTAAGAAGGCCAGTTTTATCTAATATGGCTCGAATCTTATCTGTTGAAACCCTGGTAGCCTAATAGTTTGACCTATCGCCTCTCAAGCAGTTGGTCGTGGGTTCAAATTTAGGCTTGCACCTCATGAGTTTTTCGAAATTTAATGTGCGAAATTTGAAATTGACTATGAACTTTTCGGTGAAGGAAAATATCGTAAGGAAACCTGCAAGCATTAGCAAAGCAACGTGTGTGAAGTTGTACCCGGCAATGGAACTACTATAGTAGTACAGGGTGTTAGTACATAATAATACAGGGTTGTTTGTAAAATATTAACAACCTCGCGGGACTATTACTAACATCGTAAACAATAATTTTTTTTCAGATTTTTTCCAAATATTAATTTACCAAAAGTAATCGTTGAATGTTTTAAGTTTTTGATAAACCTACTAAATACAATGATACTTTTTACATGTATATTTGGTCGTAGTAATAAGATCTACAACCCCCTCTAATTGATTTTTTAATGTCTTATTTACTTTCAGTATTGTTGTTAATTCTAAATCAGTGTAATGGACATTTTTAGGTGACAATAAAACGTTAGTAGCCAATATCTCGACAGTTACCGATATGTCAATACGTTATGGCAAGGAGAGCAGTATAGGCTAACTGTTATTAGCTGTTACCTAAATAATATCGTCACACCAGGCACCACCCATCACTAGCCACAGACCCTACTGAGTAGTGTTGTAGGCGCCGCGATTTTACCCGCGATCAGTATCGCTTCTCACCCGCGACGCGGCAACGTGGCGTAACAGTCACTCAACCATACTCCACTAATTAGTGCAGACAAATTCATCTCCACAGCTAGTAATTAAGATAGATAAACTTTACTTTTATGACTGCGGCTTTTGTGACTCAGTACCTATAGTTACGCACTCTGTCTATTGCACAGAATTAATCACTTTAAGAAACTAATTCCGATCGAAAATTGGGTAGAATTATTTTGGAATATGAAACAGTTTTTTTTGGGTCTAAATCGCGCTGTTCTTTCTTTTTTTATGATATCAAGCTATAGGACGAACAAGTCGTGCGCCTGGTGTCGCCTGGGCGACATGTCTACTCATAACAGTTTCAGTGCCACCGGAATGACACAGGCGAGCGTGGATGTTAGCTGTCATCAGAGATAGGCAGTGGGTTAAAATCCAATCAATGCGCCCGGGTGTTAACCGGTTTTCACCCAAAGCCGGAGTTTAACCTATTTCTGCTCAAAATCATGGGCTGTTTACTAGTATTGGTTTCTATTTATCCTTTGTACAAAAGAGTAGCTACACCTTTGAAACTTTGTTTAAGTGATTTGATTTAAACTTTCACGATTTCTACACATTATTTGATTTTTAATTCGGGACTTAATCACGTATAAAACATATTTTATTTTATTTACCTCGACGTTTCGGACATATTGCAACGTCCATGGTCTCGAAGGGACTAAAGAGGCGGGTGTCAGCAACTTCTAGCCGTGCGAGTTTTTCTAACTACCCACACTTGATCTTCATTATTTATTTTTACACTATGGTTCTCACTAGACCGAGACACAACACTCACGACATCCGGCGACTTGTCGGGCGATACTTCATGTAGTTTACACTTGCTGATAACTGGATCCCATGATGATGAAAGCTTAAAACCACCTTCTCGGTTGAAATTACGGTGTTTTTTAATTTCAATAGCTTGACGTACGATTCTACTATAGTGATGACGTTCTGTAGAAAGGATCTTGGGATTATGAAGCTCATTCCAGTGGTTTGGTCCTGATTCCAGCAAATGCCCGGCTATTGCAGACTTATTGAGCAGACAGTTATTAACAGCCGCGATGTGTTCTTTAACTCTTTCCGCAATGGTGCATTTTGTCTGCCCAATATAGGAACTCCCAAAACTGCAATCAGTCCCTTCGAGACCATGGACGTTGCAATATGTCCGAAACGTCGAGGTAAACAAAATAAAATATGTTTTATTTTAGTGGCTGTCACAGTGGTATATACATATATATTTTTATAACATCAAGTGACGGGGCGAATAAATCGTGCGCCGGATGGTAAGCTACACGCCTGTCCATGGCAATTACAGTGCCACTCAGAGCTTTAAATTGCTAAGATAAAGAATGCTATATGCAAAGAGAAGAGAAGAAAAGGGGCACTGCTACTGCGCCCGTCACCCTGGACGTAAGTTGACAAGTCCCATGTGCCTGTAATTTCACCAGCACCCTTACCCTTCAAAACCGGAACACAGTAATGCTGACATTACTGCTTGGCGGCAGATATGGCAGTAGGTACTACTCTGGACGAACCCTTTCACAAGGAGCTCTACTGCTACTAAATATACCCATTTCTGTTTATTTACAGTGTCACTTAGTGATATTTACATAATCTAGCAAATCTACATATTTCAATTATTTATTTATTTAAATATACTATTGATTTGAAATGCAATGTTCCATCATGTAAAATACATGTAAAATCTAATGATAATTCAATATTGACATCTTATATGATAATTATAACTAGAAAATGATTAGATAATAATAGATTTAAATGTAATACTTTGAACTAATGACTTCAACAATTTGTAATAGTTTACTTAAGAATATTTGTCCGCCATTATTGGTAGATTTTTTGTGATACTTAGCACTGTTATTTACTAAACATCAAATTGTTACACCAAAAAATCACACAAATAAACAAATTTCATTTCATTTCATTTCATTTCTTATCTTCAAACTTATTTAGAAAAACCCAGATAAAATATCTTTAGAAAAACCCGGAAATTTGTACGTTTTCTTAATGGTATACAAATCTCAACTTATCGTTATCCTGGTCATAAAACTAGGGAAATAAAGATTTTTCATGTTTGTGTAACAACCAATGATTTTTAAAATCATTGGTTGTAACACTGTTAAAATCATTGGTTATCAACCAATTAGAAAATAATACCTATTGATAACCCAGAAACAAAAATCACATGGTGTTATTTAAAAAATGTAGAAATAAGCATCGGTTGTAATGACACCATTTCTTTAACAGAAGTAATGATAATATATGACTTTTAACATTAGATAAGTTTGCAACTAAGAACCATGCACGTCGTTGATGTGACGACACGAAGACATGATAAAGAATTCATAAATTAATATTTTCAAGCACATATCTAAATATGTTTTGTGTTTAGATTTAAGAAAAAAAAAACAAATTTTTGTATAAAATCAAATCAAATATAATATTAATATCTACCTACGTTGTGTACCTAAACTATCATAACACTACTACTCCTGATTAATATTTAATTAATCATGTATGTAGAAAGTGCAAAATACTGCGACGTTTAATCATAACAATTTTCTATTCAGTGTAAGCGAAACGAACGCAGCTGTTTGAAATGCCAATCAGCAGTGACATAAATCTATAAACTGACGTTTCAATCTCTACGTTCAAATTTCACTTGCGGTTCACAATTCCACATCAGATCCAAAATGTTGGCACTCTAATACATAGATATCATTGATTAAAGGTTAATAAAATAACGTCTTATCTCTGGACTAGGTGTTTTGGCGCGAACTTCTATAACCAAAGTTTCAAATGCGATTTTACTAAGTATAGAATATTTTTTTTGACACAAGGCATTTTCGTCTTCATTTTATATCAACAAAACTTAATGCCCAAGATTTGGATGTGCCCCTTTTGACTAAAATCACTCATGAATTAAATACTAGCTTTTCTACCTTACGAGTTCAAAGTAATTTCATTTTTCACAAACTCTCTCCACCTTATATCAAAGACATTATAGAAATTTTCTTTCTCGTTACTGTCTAAAGCACTATATTTAATTGAGTTCAAAGCTAACTGTTTCAGGGTACGGAGATCAGCATGTCTACTTGCCACACCTACAAAAGATATATAGAAATCGTGTGACAACGGTTCTGCACCCCAGACACCTGGATCATCACTGGACAATACTACAGGAAAGTCCAAAGCCAGATATACTGCTAACGGATGATTTCTCACATCACGAACTAAACTAAGCACAGCATTTGATATTACATTCACTTCCACTGCGATATCGTTCTTGTACATAGTTGCCATCAAAGTAGGGTGCTTCGTCAGCGCGTAACCATGTCCGATCCTTTTAGATCCCAACAATACTGCATCGATTAAATTTTCATCAGTCGCCATGCCAAACCAATTTGTTTCTCCACCGTGAAAGTAAAAGTTCATTTCTTCTTTGGCCTCTAACAGAGCTGGAAGAAAGTCTACTAAGGGTTTTCCTTTGTCCTCTTGCCCTACTAAGTCAAATCCAGCGAACATTTCAGGAACTTCCCTTTTAATTTGTCTAGCAAAGTCCAATGCTTGGCGAATTTGGTCGATGTCCGATCCTCGGTGTTTTGTTACAATCAATTTAATACCTATAAAATCTGGATAATCTTCTCTGAATTTCTTTGTAATGTTTTGGTATAATTTCACCATATACATTCGTTCATGTTGCGTTCCATCTAGTTCATATAAGCTATGTAAACCGCTTCTTATTTCAATGTACATGACATTGTCGTTGTAAAATCTTTTCAAAGATTCATAGAAGAATTTTTCTCGCACAGGTCTGTACAATATTAGAGATTTAATTGCATAGTATACTTTGTTAAATCTTTTCCAAACAGAGTCAATATCTTCTTGTTCTTTCGTGTATAGGGTGAAATGTTGTTTTATAGCCGCATCAAACGCTTTGACGTCATCGGATGCATTCCGTAGTTCGCTAAGGAGAGTCCATTTAACTGGACAATACCGCTGTGGAATAACCTCTGAGAACTGTAATTCGAAAACGTCGTCCGTGTAGCACGTGTATAAGTGGTCTTCATACGTCAGATTTAACAAATAATCCGCACCTAACATCAGTGTACTATGTATATGCAATGCTCCGCCTTTGGGCATCCGTTTGATTATCTTATACACTTTTGAGTTGCTGATTTCGTCTCTGTATGTGAAATAGTGTTTTGAGAAGTTGAACCGGTGCGGATTTTTAAAGTATTCGTTTATTTCAACTTCTTTGAGCTGCATCAATATTTTGTTTAGTGTTTCTTCTTCATCATCGAGTTTTAGTTTTCCTCCGAGAGCATGTACAGTCTCTTCTTCGAGTAGGTTGTTTCTGGTTTTCTCGTAGTCTTCTAAAATTACGCGAGCACTTATTGTAGTAAGAAGTAAACACATAAAGACGTTTCGTGTGATTGTCCCCATTTTGTGGCGAGATCAGTGATCTTAACCGCGGGTCACAAAGTCCGATTAAGATACTCACTGTGCGCTCAGTTCCACAATAACGACTGGCCGGGTATGCTCACTACGTTTATATTTATACTCGTCTATAAAGTAAAACTTTTTTGTTTGTTTTCCATCAATGCATAGTTCCAGAAGTTCTTTAGAAGTTTACTTGACAAAAACTGATCTTAAGGTTAAAGTTGGTGTTACAAAACGACACGGCGGGTTACGTAAATGCAGTCTCATTTTTCGATCAAGCATATACTTGTTTGATAACAGAAAATGAACCTTTGTCCAGCTATTTATTAATCCTAAGTAATAGTGTACGTACTGTGTAACAGACCTTGTTATGGTGGTTATTTTTAACGTGTTGGGTCTTAAATGTGATTGAGTGATTGTGCTTCACCTTGAGTTACATCCTAAGATCAATAACCTGAGATCGATGTTTTGTCATGTACTGGACAACGCAAAATAATCTCTTGTACTGTGGTTCAATTAGTGTGTAATCTTTTTCAGTAATGTATTGTTGATTATATTGTACTATTACCTTGCCGGCCTTGAAGAGAATTTGTAATAATTGAGTCACTCTCACCTTTGAGTAAGAAAGGACTTATAACCGGAAAATCTATGCCCATATTCTTTTCCTCTTAATTGTGTCTACGATGTACACATTCAAATTCGGTTTGTTCTTTTTTTTGTTTCGGTGAACAAGAATAAATTATTTTGCATTTGTAATTTGTTCTAAGATTTTTGGCTTAAATATCAATCCAAAGAAATTTTGAAAAACACTTATCATTGTATTGGTAAGTGTTTACGATTTCCTAGTGCATAATTTTGGAAATATTTACTTTTTTTCTATTTACTTTTTGTTTTGTAGGTTCATTTTAGCTACCATAGCACATGACTTATTTAATTTGGACTCCTGCCTCACATATCTAAGCTCTTTGTTCATTTGCATAATATATTTGGTGCTTACTTATTGGGAGATAATAAATGATAAATGAATTGATATAATTAAGTAGTTACATAAGCCTTCCTTATGCTATTTTTTTTATTCGTAAAACTAGTTTAGGTTGACTTCGTTCTTGCCAAAGCAATAAATATATTAGAAAAAAATTGTTCTAAAAATATTTTTATTAATAATATGAATGACGACAAATATCTATTACATTATGTTACATATATTTTTTCCGAAGATAGATTAGAAACGACAGACTTTTGTAAATGACATCATGCTTGTCTAGATATTATAATAGTTTTACACTTGTGTAAACAACTTCGTTAGGATAACCAGAATTGTCTAATCTTTATTAAACTAAGGCGTAAAGCATAAAAGTGTAAAATTTCTAACTCTGTGGGTGTGAGTGTCATATCCGGTAGGGTCAGTTAAATACATATAAATAAATAATTATAATGTGCCAGACAACCAGACCATTTGCCTGGTCTCAAACTATGGAATTCACTCTGGGACACTTCCCAGAATACCCAGACCAGAACCAATTTAGAAAAGTTCATTTCCTAAATCGATCCTACCGAGAATCGAATCCGGAATCTCCGCATCCAGAGCCCACAGTGTAAACCATTAGGTCACCGAAGTCGTCAAATAAATATTAGACAACATCACATATGTTGTTCTGATTCCAAAGTTACATAAAGCACTTGTGTTATGGAAATCGGAAACAACGACGGTACCCACACACCCTGACTCGAGACAATATAAAAAACTTAGTTTGTACATTGTCCCGGCTGGGAATCGAACCCGAGACTTCAGAGATGCCGACACCATGAAAACCAATGTGCACCTTGCCTTACTTATTTCTGCCACCAAAACCTAAACTGGAACGCAGTAATGTGAGCATTACTGCGTTCCAGTTTTGAAAGGTTCTGGTGAAATTACAGGCACATGAGAGATATCAACTTATATCTCAACGAATGTGATGTTGTCTAATATTTATTTAGTAATGTATTGTAATAAATTAATTATATAAATACCTACAGCAATTCCAGATAATTCTGTTATAGTAGATGCAGAGGAAGTGCCTTATCGCACTTGAATGGATGGCATGACCTATGAATGCATTAGAATTTATTGGAATTAGTTATCTGTGTTGCTGTCATGCCCTGATGCTTAGTCATGCCTAAGCTTGAAGAGTGAAGAGTCAGTCGTGAGATTGATTAGGACTTTGGATTAGCGTTTCGACTTTCGACTGAAGGAGCCCTGGACAATACTTTAAATTATTTTTCCATTAAAATTATTAATCGATCAATCAAACAAGGAGACGAAAAAAAAATCTAGTTTTGATGGTTATCTCTGAGTGTGTAATGTTTCATATAAATATTTTTGCCTAACACTAATTTAGTATGATTTTATTTATAATAAACTTTTTATCTCACAATTCACATAACATGACGAAAGTTTAATATTAATTTACATTGTTTATTACCATTATTGATAACAATTATAAGTTATGAACAAATTTATTTCAGCTTACATAACTAAATAGAATAATAAACTGAAATCAATTTGACCTAAAACATGTTTGGAAATGCAAACCAATTCGATTGCGGCTTTTTCATATATAACCAATTACAAGTATGGCGCACATTACAGGTGCACGTAAACTATCTGGAAAAATCATCTGAATTGATAATAATTATATAAAATGATTTTTATACAAAAATAACTTCATGTAAAATAGAATTGTATGAAATTAAGTGTAAATTATACTAAATGAGCGAAATTTTTAGCAGCGGTATCTGTAAAGGTACGTGACTGAGTGAAGAAATAGATTTCTCACAGAAGGCGCTACAGCAAAAAAGTCGTTAAAAATCTAAAGTGAAGATCTGCAAAAAGCACATAGGAAAATACGTAAGCTCCGTTAGTTAATTCCGTGGCCTAGCTGTCATAGCACGTTTGCTGGAAGATCTTGGATCGAAGGAAATTTGTCTAAGTCTTCGATCTTTGTGTTCATAATTATAACAAACGGAGTAATTTCCCAAAAAAATTGAATATCGTTATGGTCAAACATCGTGACATTCAATACCTTAAAAATTAGTTTATTTAATTTTCACACAAATGAGGCACCTCATTTCACCACCTGGCTAGATCTGCACATTGTTTTGGTGGTACGGGAGATGGGTCCAAGACTTTTAGTGACGGGCATTGTATTGTGCTGCGTAATTGTAGCCTTTAGAAGGGTATGACGCACGACTCGTGCTGCAGTGCGTGGTCGCAATCATTTCATGGTAAATAATAGGCGATAAACCGTACCCGTCATCGTGTTCATAGCGTCATTTAAAGCCGCATGGGTTCGAATCCAGGTTCACACCTCTGAGTTTTTAGAATTTAATTTGAAATTTACCAGTTTATTAGAATTATTAATACAACGATCGAACACTCAGAAAAATTTCCTTCGATCGGGCGGGATTCGAACCGACGTCTTCTAGCATACCGTGTCAGACGCTGTATCAACTAAGCTCTGGCCGGGGCTGGTAGCTGTAAAGGTATCAAACTGGGTGACGAAAAACTTTCATAGATTTCTCATACATGGCGTTACGGCTAAAAAGTCGTTGAAAAACCAAATACGACAAAGATACGACAACAAGCACATAGTAAAATTCGTGGGGTCCACTGGTTCGTTCCGTGGCTTAGTTGGTATAGCGTCTGGCACGGTATGCTAGAAGACGTCAGTTCGAATCCGGCCGGATCGAAGTAAATTTTTCCGAGTGTTCGATCTTTGTATTAATAATTATAATCAACTAGTGGAGTACTTTCACATAAAAAAATAATTGAATATCAATTCATTAAAAATTTAAATTTACCATGAGCTTTTTCGACGAAGGAAAACATCGTGATGAAGCCTACGCATCAAAGAAGGTTCACAAACCCTGCAAAACGTATGAAATACCGAACCCGCATTGGGCCAAACCTTGGCTATGATCTAAATACTTACCTGGGAGAAGATACGTGCCCAGCAGTGAAATGTATAAATGGTTGATGAGTAAAAAAACCTAATGGAAGTAAATTACAATTTGAACGTTTCACGATATCAAAGAATCTATACTTTGTAAATAATTTCAGAACATTCGTGACAAAGTAGCAGACTTGTGATACGACCGTAGCGTCTGATTAATGATAAAGGGATTGTATCAGCGAGTGAGCGTTTAACGCGTGCTCAAATGTCACGAATAGCACGTAATCGTAATAACGATGTAAATACATGACTTTTGTCGGTTAGGGCAATTTAGAATCTGAGAGAGATAAATTTAAAGAGATTAACATTCTTACACTAATGTGACAGAACGTTTATGAAAATGCAATTTATTTTAAGAATAATACTAATTTATTTATGAAAAATAGTGACAGACATACGAGGAACAAACATAAACTGGTTGTTCTTGAAATTAATTTCATTTAGTAGCAGTTACCTTACGTATTTCTGCCGCCAAGCAGTAATGTGACTATTACTGCGCTCCGGTTTCAAGGTGCCGGTGAAATTACAGGCACATGGGACTTGTCAACTGTGCGCTGGTGGAATTCTGTAGCTTGCAATCCACATTTCATATTAGTGAAAGCATGTACCGCTTGGAATGTTCAGTAGAGTGTAGTGAGTTTAACGTTCGGGAGTTCAAAAGGGTAAAGGGTAATGGTAATAAATCCAGTTATAAAAGTATTTATTCCGGTTTTAAAAGATTTTTAGTAAAATGGTAAACGGTTAAAAAAAATAGGAAGACGATGCGTTCTCTGCCACGAGAGTGACGATGGAACGAAATCAGAATGTGAGGTAAAATGGAACAATTTAAATATGAGTAGAAGAAGAAAAAACGATACGATACGAATGGAGAGAGGCGATACAAAAAAGTGGAATAATGGTGTAAGGAGGTCACACCGTCACAAACTTAAATCTCAGGGTGATAGGCGCAGCGGCAGTGCTTCTCAGATCTTCACGATTTGAAGCTCTGAGCGGCACTGCAACTGCTACGGACAGGCGTGTAGCTTACCATCAGGCGCACGACTTGTTCGCCCCGTCACTTGATGTTATAAAAAAAACTATTTGCCAAGTTTCATTGAAATCAGTTAACGGAAAGTGGGTGAAATCCAATAAACAGGATTCATACC